AACAGGTGATTGCAAAGACTATGGCCTGTATCAGACGCACCTTAGTCTCCAGAGAGACACCACTGCTCTTCAGCACTTTGGAGAGGTCCCTAACAGCAGACTTTCCCATGGCAATGCGCCTTTTAATTTCCTGGCTGCTGGTGCCAAGACTGTTGACTATGGAGCCAAGCAAACTAAAGCTGTGTACAATCTCAATCTCTTCACCATCCATCCTGATGCTGCCAGTTGGTCCACTGGTGAGAATCTTTGTCTTCTTGACATTGAGCCTCAATCCATATTGCAGGCTGCAGTCCTTGACACTCTGCAGCAGGTGCTTCAGGTCCTTCTCAGTTTCAGCAAGCAGGGTTGTGTCATCCGCATAACGCAGATTGTTGATAAATCGTCCACCAATCCTGACCCCACATTTCTCCTCATAGATCCCAGCCTCCCGGATAATCTGTTCTGCATATAGGTTGAAGAGGTATGGAGATAGGATGCATCCCTGGCGTACGCCCTTCCCAATTTTGAACCATGCAGTGTTCCCTTGCTCTGTTCTGACAACTGCCTCCTGGTCCAAGTGTAAGTTTCGCATTAGAACGATCAAGTGTTCTGGGATTCCCATTCTTCTCAGAGTCAGCCACAGCAGTTAATCTTAGGAGGAGCTAATTGGGAGGAGATTACCGATCCTTCTGCAGCAGAGCAGCTGGTGGCTTTGAACCACGTACCTTCAAGATTGCAGTACAGCTTCTTGCCACTACGCCACCAGAGCTCCCTTATGAAAATAAAAAACCAAACAAACAAAATAAACCTATTTCCATCATATTGATTACAACTCATAGTAGCAATATCCCATCAGTAATTAAACAGAAGTATTTTATCTGAAGGAGCAAAATATTGACTTTCTAATTTTATCATTTCTTCTATTGTCATTCTCCTATATAGAGTTTTCCTTTAACAAGTAGGCATGAATTACACTCTTGTAAGGGGGAGTAAAAATAGGCAGAATACTTCCCTCTCCTTAACTGTCAAATTTCGGAAGAACAAAATGTTGTAATTAACACCTCCAATGTTGGCAACTAAGATTTACAACTTTTCACTTTGAATCTTATTTTGGATTCATTTTTTTTTTATACAGTGTTCTGTGTAAAGGATTCAAGTTTACAGGTGCAGAGGGGTTTTTTGCTTCTGTTTAATTTTGTAAGACTAAACGTGAATCTTGTTTCCTAACGGGCTGTATGTAGGTTGAATAGAGGTTAATCAGAATAATGTTTTTAAAATGATGCATTATCAAAGTTCTTAATAATTTTTAGTAATCTATGTCGGTTTACTTTGAACATGTTCATTGTATCTTCAAAGTGAATAGTGGTAAAAGTAACAGCAAAATAGACTTGGCCTGGAATTGCAAAGAATTTCCTCAGAATCTTGGCCTTACAGAACTGAAATGGATTGGCCTGCCCAGGATGAGCTCTCTTCTCGAAATCTCTCAGTACCCTAACCCAGGGAGAACTGAAAACAAGAATGTCAAAAAGGCACATTTAAATTGTTCTCAAAATCAATCAAAAATAATGAGGTGCTGGAAAAAAGTTGTATCCTTGATAATTACATCTATCAGTATCAGAAAACAAAAGAGAACAATCAGGAGATGACAATCCCACTCCCAAGTAGCACATTAAAAAAAAGCTAATGAAAAAAAGTCTCTTTTAAAAATTGCGCTAAATTAGCATTTCAAGTAAATTGACAACTTACACGTGGATAAAGGCCAATCTGGGGCCAAAACAATGGAAGTTCTGTTTCCACTTTTATCTGCTTTTAAAGAAAATGATCTCTCTTGCCTTTTTTTGTTGTTGTTGTTGTCTTTTATGAGTAGAAGTAATTGCCCTCAGGAAAGTGGCAGTACAAGGATCAGGGCACACCTAGAGGATTGTACTTAATTTGGGGTTCTTTGTGCTTGTTAAAATACAGATCTGGGGCAGGGTAACTAGAACAGTGGAGTCTTCAAAGCATTCTTATCCTATGTCCCCTTTTTCACTTGGAAAAGAGGTTAGCATAACTGTCATAAGGCTTTCAACATGCTCATTGTACCTTCAGAGTGAATAGTGGTGGAAGTAACAGCAAAATAGATTTGGCCTGGAATTACAAAGCATTCCCTCATAATCTTGGCCTTACAGAACAGAAATGGATTGACCTGCAGAGGATGAGCTTACAAAAGCAGATATTGTTCACAGATTGAAATTCCTTTACCTGAAGATGGATTCTGGGGATGCAAGGGTCTCCAAGCATCTGTAATTACAATGAGAGACACTTTAAGGATTATATAAACTAGTTTTTACAGTTAAGGTAAAAATGAATTTTTCAGCACCACTGTAAAAAGAAAAATGTTAACACACTCCAATTTGTAGATCTTTGCTTGGAATTTGGGAAGGTGAACATTATAGTTCAAGCTGCAGTCTTTTAAAATCTTGGTACATTGTTTTTATCACATTGTATTTGTACCTAATCTGGCTGTAAATCCAGTAGTTTTTTAGATAGAAATATTGCTGTATTAGTAAAAACATAATATAAAATTTTGGATTAGATTTTAAGAATAGAAAGAATTAGTATATTATTTCTCAATAGTGACAAGAAAATTTTCTTTCCATGATAATAAACTTACATACATAGATCTTCAAATGAACCCATTCATTTGAAGATAGTAGTAAGTGCTTCTATTTTTTTTTGGCTTGTCAAATAATTTTATTCTTTATTATTAGGCTGGGGTAGGAGGAAGGCCTAGTATATTCTGTCAACATATTCATCAGTCATCATTTTTGGAGACAGTTTTCGACAGACTGTATGTTTTACTGCCCTAACAAGAGAAAAGACTAGCCATTAAGTTTATGCGTCTTTGTTTTTCAGCGTGGTCACATATCAGGAATAATGCTGGAAGTATGCTAATAAACAATATATAACGTAGGTCATCTGGGAGTAAGAAATATTTTCTAACTAGTTCTAAAGGGAAATATTGTTAAAAAAGGGATAGGTGTTATTTACGCAATACATGTTGCTCTATATGTCACCATCAAAAGCATCTTGTAAACAGCTCAGCCTAGTAAATCTTCTGTGCTGATTGTCAGGGTTTTTCCAGTCTGTGTTAGATTTAGATTCCATGCACTAGTTCACACTGTGTCTCATGTACAAAGACACAGGCTGTTTAGACACAGCTTCCCTTGGCATTAGGTTTGTGCTAGTGTGGTTACAAAAAAATGTTGTCTACTCTTGCAGGGGGAAAAAATTACTAAGTTAAAATACAGTAATTAGAAAAGTACGATGTTAACAACATGTGTGCTTTTTAGCCTCAGTTGAAATGAAGGCTGATTTTTGACCTTAACTTTGATTTTGTTGAGTTCCAAAAAACTTAAGTCTTTTTAGAATAATTGCAATTTACATAGTGCTATTTTCTGTTAATTCCATTAGTGAACAATTTAATTATAAGGTTAACGATGAAACTAAGACTATTTTTATCAAAATGTCATGAATATGATTTTACAAATGTCATTTTCTAACAATTGGGAAATTTTCAAAGTGGTTTCATTTTTTTCCAAGTTGGCTTTTAATTGTAAATGTAGAATTTCATTGGAATGGAATTTATGTAACGTGTGTTATAAAAATATAATAGTGTATTTTATGGAGTCCACCAAATATGACTGGACATTATGAGAGTCAGCATAATAAAGATGGGAAATAATAAAGGCATTCTTATCAGAGAAGTGTAACATTTGGAATCATGTGAGATGATGTTTCTCTCTAGCTGTAGGACACAGTGACATCAGCAAATCTTTCTGTTCCGCTAGGTCTCAGTGTTTTATTTGTGATACTGGAATTAAATAAATCTTGCCTCATCCATGTCACAGAAATACTGAGTAAAATGATAAAATAAGATTAAAATGTTCATTACAGTTTTTATGGGAGAAACATGAATTCTAGTAATTAGCAACTTCTCAAGTATCACCTACATTTTAGAATTTTACCTATTAAATTATAATCTCTACATCATTCAGTTGGACCGCATGAACCTTAATTTAGTAACCGGTTGAGTTACAGATGTGGAGAATATCACCAGTTTGGGAGAAGGTTAGTATAGGTGGCACTCAGATTGTCATTGAGATAAGTAAGCCTGTAAGTTAAATTTGTAAATAAGTCAACAGGTGCATATAAATCTTATTTAGCTTCACTGTAATGCCAGAAAGGAACTAGTAGAGCATGGATGATGCATTAAATGAATGCATTGGACAAAGTGGCTGCTAATGAAAAGATTGGTGGTTTGAATCCATCAGCCACTCCTTGGGAGAGAGACAGTGCACTCTGTTTCCAGAAGTTTTCAGACTTGGACATCCTAAGGGGCAGGACTGCTCCGTCCTAGCAGAGAGCTGGAGTCAATTCAGAGGCACTGGGTTTTCTGGGCTTTGTATTTCTTTTGTTCATTTGTTTTAGTTCAGCAAACGCCTCGAAGCCTTTCCAGTGATTTAAAAGCATCACTTTTAAAAGTGTATTTGATTGTGATAAATAATTTGCAGCTGAGTAGGGCTTGGTTCAGTTATTTTAAAGTGAGGGCAAATTTAGATAACATTTATGTTATCCACAGATGTCAGCAACCCTGGGGAATCCCCACTTCCCATTCTTCAAAGGAATCAGTGTCTGAAGCTCAGCCATGTCTTACAGGCCCCCCCCCCCCGCCCCAATACTAAGTTCTGGTTTTGAGTTCAGAAATATTTCAAAATAGAATGTATCATGAACCTCCCATCCTTCTAAATGCTTTGCAACGAAAATGATCACATTGGGATCAAGCCACAGGATCTTGGTAAGAATCTCCGGGAATATTTAACAACTTCACGGTAGCTAACTCGGTAGCTAAGTATGACCAGCATCTCAGACAGATGCTCTAAATAAGGTTGAGGGTTTGTTAAAACAAACACGCACAAACACCACCACAGCACTAAACAGTACATGCATCTAACTAATTCTGTTTGTACTTGTCTCCTCAGAAGAAGACCTACCAGTGCATCAAGTGTCAGATGGTTTTCTACAATGAGTGGGATATTCAGGTTCATGTTGCAAATCACATGATTGGTGAGTGATACTTTAAACCTTATTAAAGATAAGGCGTTTTTCCCCTCCTACATGTCCTTTTATGCCTATGTAATTAAACAGAGCTAAAGACGAATTAATTGTTCAACCATCCATGGTTTACCTAGGCTTGATTGATGTTTTTCAAACTCCTGTTATTGGACCTGATAAGGCATTATTAGCACATTTTATTTTCTGCAAGGGCCAGTTTAGACTTCTGCAGAGGATTGTATATCTACTGCCAGTCAAAACACAGGTGATTAACAAATTAAACTTCTAATCATTTTTGCATTATTGAAAACTAACAGGAATGGTTAATGAACTGGATGTTAGCTTTCCATAGAGTTTTAGAGAGGTTTTAATTTCAGAAGTTATTACGGTAACGGCACTGCTGTGTGTTGCTTAAGCATCTTTGTATCAAAATCTAAAGTGGTTGAATTTTTTTGTGTGTATGAGAGGGAAGCATAAATAATTTCAATTGCCATAAAGTACTTTTATATGTATGTTTTCCACATTCTGGAAAGAATTGTAATTCTGAAGACCACGTAAAAAATTAAGTAATCCTGTTGTCATTTCCCATCAAAATTTACTTCAGTCTTTAGGATTTATGGAGATCTTTGAAACAAATGGTTTGGGTAAAGATCTCTGAAGTCAGACTAGGACAGTATTTTCAGGAGTTTTGCAGTTAATCACGTGGCGGAATCAAGGATAAATTTTTCACTCTTTCATAGGGTTCTATTATCCCTGAAATTCTTGTGGGCTTACTGTTATGTTTTTAATTTGATAACCACTTAGTAATAACACTAAGAGTTTTACCAGCCAATTAAACTTTATCAAGCAGATCTGTTATCTACTAGTAAAATGACAATTGTGATTCCTTTATACTATTTTTGTTACTCACTTGTGTTTTTAGACTATGAGTCTTTTATTTCATACACATTTTGTGGTATTTTGTGCTACTATAAATAATTGTGATATGAAAAAGTCCAATTAACCTCATGTGCTCCCGTTATCAAACTTGGTAAGACAAGAAAGCAAATTCAACATTCTAGATGATGAGCTTGTTTTCTAAAGCAAACAAGTCTTGAAACATAGAAATAAAAACTGGTCTAAGACTTTTTAATGGAAGCATTGTTCCACCTCTCAGGATTGCTCATCAAAACCAGCAGCCAAACTGGGTGTGTTCTTGTATCAGCTAATGAACATGAATTCAAAAGCATGTTGAAAAGTTGATTAATAGCTTTTCTAGAAATGTGTTTTATTGCTTTAATTTGATAGATCTTTAGGAGGATTATTGTTTACTAATAACCAGATGCTTCATTTTAAAGTGAAAGAACCATATACTAATAACAACTATAACATCAATCACATTATCTGTTTTCCATATTTAAGTGCATATGTGAAAAGTCATTACATAGCACATTTTAATGTATGTAGTAGTGTAAATATAAATAATACACGTGACAGAGCAATGTGGACCACTTTTCTAAGTGTTTAGAAGATAACGACTAGAGTGTAAAATGTTTTTCCCTGCCGTTCTTGTCTGTTTCAAAATCCTAAGGAAAAAAAAATGCTCTCCATAAACTTTCAAAATAGTTTGCTTTGTGGAAGGGATCTGGACAAATAGGGAATTCTTGCCAAATGATAAACAATACTATTTTATTTCTGTATTTCTTTAGTGTGTGGATGGCAGCCATTCATAATTTTTGCCTCATGCTGCACTTTTACATGGGCTTAAAAGAAAACATTTCTTGGAAATATGCAGCTTGTGGAAAATTTGATGGAACTTTGTAGGGTCATGCTTCCAATTAGTTTTATTCTATGTACAATTATCTCTGGTTCCGGGTTTATTTTTCATCCTAGCTAAATGTTTATATGATGTATCCAGATGAACAAATTGGACATATTTCTCAGCACAGTATCAATACTGTTTGAGCATGAAGAATCAGAGTTGAAGGTCTAGCTTAATGTTGTTGTTAGGTACCGTCAAGTCAGCTATGATTAATAGTGATCCTATGACCAACAGATCAGAACCTTACTTCTCCTGTGTGATTGAGTGTGAGACATTGTTACTTTCTAATTTTAGTATTTTGTCTGCAACTTTCACTGGCTTTTCTTAAATAGTTCTCCAACTTTTCCCTTGTATATCTTTTATACTTCTTGCATCATTAGTGATATTCCAAAGCTTTCCCCCACTGACCTTATTGGAGATTACTATAACACTCATTTCCTCTTGGGATCCAAAGGCTTAACACATTACCTTCCATCCTAGAAGTAAATTCTATTTTTTTTTCCCATCACTATGGGCCTAGTTATTTAGCATTATTCCTATTTTTAATAATAAAATGCTTATTTCTCCTGTACTTGAGGCCTAAAAAAATGAATGGCATCATTTAATGACTGTCCTTTGAACATGTGTTCAAGTCCTTACATTCTGTTGGTGCTGTTAATATCTAGAGAGAGAGAATGCATAATGGGTGGTGTCATATAGCCTAAGATATTCTTTTTTTTTTTAACAATCCCAGTGTGATATTTATCTTTCAAATAAAGCAGACAACACTATTTTGTTGGCTAAAATATCTCCATTGAGTCTAGGTACTTTTAGATTATATATCTGTGTGTGGTTTTTGTCTAATCAAAAAATAATCTCAACCAGACATTTAGCAGGGGAGAGGGATTAGGGACTCTCTGCAAAGCTTCTTACTCTTTTTTTCATTAAGAGGGTATAGAGTGTTTTTACAGATTTTGTTTTACATTTCAATCAGTCTGCAGGAAGGATTATGTCACCTGATGGAAAACAAAATCTGCAGATGACCCAGTCAGGTGTAACTTTAAGTTCTTTCTTTAACCAAGCCATTTGCATTAACTCCTGTTAAGCACACATGTTTTAATGCAATTTCAATGTCATCCAACCTCTGTGCTTCTTTCTGGATATTCTCGTTTCAGACTATTGGCCAGGGACATATGTGAAAGGAAAACTATCAATGTTTCTACCAGGTACAGAACGCGGACTCTCTGCTTAAGTGCCATTTTGCAGCTAGGTGTGGACACATAGTCTGAGTTGCAGGAATAATTACTCAATAAAAATACATTAGGGATTTGACTTGTGTCTGTTAAGGAAAAAAGAAAACTTCATCTTCACCACATCTTGTAACAATTTCAGTAAGAAATCAGACCAGTAACTATTTAGGGGTTTCTTTTCTTCTTTACACACATATAAATAAGGAGCTACAAAACATTTTAACAACTTTCCTGGAGAGAATAATTTCTCTCCTTTAAAGTCTGTGCTGATGAGAAAATTTTTGTTTCTTCCTTTGTTCTGTTCAAATAGTTTACATTGGCACTTGACCTGAGAATATAGAAAGAATCCACTGCTCACTAGTCACTGTTTTTATTTTCTACCAGCATAGTAAATATTTGTTGCTGTTTTCTTCTTAGAGATCCCTTTCATTATTATCTTTTTGTTATGGATTAACACAGAAGGAGATGAAACCAGAGAATTCAAATGTGTTTAACCCAGCAAAGGCATTGCCTCATATAAAATTATGAGGCACAAGAGCAGTAGAGTAAATTTGTAAGAGCTTGGGATAAAGGGCTGTTAGGCATGAGATAATATAAAGAGAATACATTGCCAAGAACTATTTATGAGAAGCTTAATTTTTTCACTCTGATAATTCTTGACCAATAATTACCAGCCTCTAATTATCTATTTTAGTTAGAAAGAAATTTCGATCACTACAGAGGTTGGCATTGCAACTAGCACATAAATCCCCAAAGAGACAAATATGTTCCAAACAGCCACAAACAACTGTCTCATGAAACATAGTGAGTAAATTGCGAGCGGCTGGTGGTAGACAACCAGCAGTCCATTTACCACCGAAGGCCAGTCCACTTGACAAAGAAATGAGCAAAGGGGAGAAATGCCATTATCCTTGAAATTTATTGCCACAGTCATGGACTTTGGAGGACAAGTGGTACAGCCATGGTCATTTCCAGCCTCCTTTTCAAAAAAGTTCTTGGATGGAGAATAAGAAAGGAACGGATCCAGGCTATTTACTTGGGAATTATTTTTTTTTAAATCTTTGAAAATTCCTTAGTAAACTCAAGTCTGTAAATTCATATTTTCCCTCAGATCAGAATGACAACTGTTATGATGGAAAAAATTATGTTTTCCTTATGAAAGATAGGAAAATATGGGCATTTGTTAATAGATTTCTTATGGACAGATCAAGAGTGACACATATACAAAGCATTAGGGAGAAGTGAATATTTTTATATCTTTAAGCCCTCTGAATGGTAACTAATATAAAAAAGCACTGATGGGGGAAATACTATGTTTATTAAAATTGTTAATATCTGTTATCTTCTTGATAATTTTAATTCTTAAAAGACTCATGAAAGTGTTTAGCTATTCTGTAGTGCATCTAGAAGTATATTTATGCCATGTATTGTGTTAGCCATGATATATACACCCCAGATGTCAGGACAAAAAAAAATGCATAAAACAGTTTTATTCAGTATGGTGAAATTTCAGTCTGGTTTTGTTGCAGGTAGCATTCTTATATTCTACAGTTTGTTTGATGCCTGAGGTCACAGTGTCATTCTTTTCCTTCCATTTATTTAGTGTATGGTATGCTATGTGACTAATCTTCATTATAGCATTGTAACATTCAGTATCACCTCTGATGCATTTCAGCTTGAATGCTCTTGTTTTAGAAAGGCCTTAACCAATATTTTGAGGTCCATACTAGCCTTGGATTTTATGTCTTGGGAGGAAATAGCCAAGGATACAGATCTCTGTACCAGAAGACACCGGGCCATGCTGGCCTTTAAACCCTCAGTTTTCATGGACTGATTTTAGTTTTTTAATGACTAGAAAGGAATCTACAATAATACACACATGTGACATGCAGCGCGCTCACGTGCTCGCTCTCTCTCTCCATGCTACCCTAAGAAACTCAAAGTCATTAAGGTTCTTTGGCGCTTTTGGTGTACATTAAGTC